TTATATATGACTGTGTATAAATTATATACATATATCTGTCATCTGTCTGTCTATTAATCCATTCATTGATCCATCAATCCATACATCCATCGATCCATTCTATCTATCTATCTACCTATCTCTGTGTAATGGAAGGGCTAGATAATGAGGGACCAATAATTAGAACATAATTGGATTTGCCCTTCCTGGTGGGTTATACAGAGCTTGCATATGTATTCCATGATTGAATCCAACCCAAAGGATGGAAGTTTGGAAGCCTTTCCGCAGTCATTAGTGTCTTAAGGGATGGAACTGTGAGATGATGAAACACCTTCTAATTGGCTGAGGATCCTGGAGAAACAGTGACTCATGGGGTACTGAGCTGGAACTTTGTGTGCATACAAAAGGAATGACCTGTGTCTTTCCTTGCTGGAGGTTACTAAGGCTAGGACCTCTGGGAGGTTTTGGGCAGTGGAGGGGCAGGTGGCTTCTCTATCTCCCACCTAGCCAAAATGTGCCTCTAAGTACACAGAATCTTCTGTTTCTTTTGTATCCATTCTGCAGGCGGTATATCCATGTGATTAAGTGAGTTTGGGAGATCCAGAGGCCTCCTGAGAAGTCCAGTTGACAGTCAGTGGCATTAGCAATTGCTCTGCCTGACCTCCCTGGATTCTGTAAAGTCTACTAAAATCCCCTCTTTTATTGGAAGCCTTCTCCAAGCCCTCTTGATTCTAGTGCCTTCTTTTATTAATCATTTCCTATTTACCCTGTACATAGCTTGTTTTACCTATATGTCTTTGTATGTTGTATCACCCATTAAATTGGAAGCTCCTTGAGGGCAGGGATTGTTTTTTGCCTCTTTTTGCATCTCCAGCTAGTGCCAAGCACAGAGTAGGTACTTCACAAATATTGATTTTTTTTTTTTAGGCAGTTGGGGTTAAGTGACTTGCTTAGCATCACACAGCTAGTAAGTTTCAAGCGTTTGGTCTGAGGACGTGTTTGAACTCAGGTCCTCCTGACTTCAGGGCCAGGGCTGTATCCACTGTGCCACCTAGCTGCCCCTACAAATATTGATTGATTTATAAATTTATTGGTAGTACCATGCAACAAAGCAGTTGTAGCCAACAACAGAAGAATTACCTACAACTGGAGGCAGAAAGATGATAATCACTTACTCCATGTGACAAAGACAACTGTTGGCTATGTACTCTACAAAGGTACCAGTTCTTGCAGTCTTAGGGAAATCTCACCAGGATTTGAGAAGAAGAAGAAGGAAGAAAAGGAGGAGGAGGAGGAGGAGGAGGAGGAGAAGGAGGAGGAAGAGGAGTTCTAGAATCCAGGAACCATGAGGTGTCCCTTTATCTTGTGTTCTCTACATGTGTGCCACACTACATTTTACTTTCTATTTGAGCCCACTCTTCCCAAGGTCCTTGTGTTTCCAAAGGGAGAGTGTGGCCTTGGTTGAGCAAGACAATGGGATGTTTGTGCGGGTGTTTTGTAATAACCATTATTGCTATACCTTCTCAATAAACTTTTTAAACCGTTAATAGAATCCAAGTGACTGATAACAGGGAGCAAACTGGTGGGGGCTCAGGCACTGTAATATTAGGAACCCCATAACCCCTCTGGCTTTTGGTTAAAATCCTAAGAGGAGTTAATAATAGTCAGTCATCCTCTGGGGACCTCAACTGGTGAGTGTGCCTATTTGGGTAAGAAGCCACAGAGATGGTAATCTATCTATCTACTCTTCTTTTTTTTCCCTTTCCCTCTCCCCCTTCCCCCTTTCTCTTCCACCTTCTCCTTCAACATGTCCCTTTCTCCTCCTCCTTCTTCTTTTCCCTTTCCTTTTGGCCTTTCCATTCTCTCACTCCCTCTTTCCCTTTCACTTTCCTTTCCCTTTCCCCCCTTTCATTTCCCTTTGTATACTCCCTTTCCCTCCTGTCCCCTCAGAAGCTTAGGGAGAAAGCCAATGTCCCACAGAGGTTGCCACCTCTGCCTCTTTATACTGTCCACTTGACCAGAAGGTCAGAGAGGCAGAGTTAAAGCTATACCCAAGGTTCAGATCCAGGTGAAAGGCAAGCTCTTGCTCCTTTTCTTAAGTTTGAAGACAAGAGTCCAAGAAAGGTTTCAGGAGCCAGCATCTGCCTTCCTCAATAGCTACTCAAACTAGAAAGGACAGTATATGTTCTCACTCCACAGCCTGCTATTCACTTCCTATGAGATGAGCTAGAGATGAGAAAGAGCCAGGTTAGCCATCATTTCCAGTGACCAATCATCTATCCTTCCCTCCCTCCCTCCCTCCCTCCTCCCTCCATCCATCCATCCATCCATCCATCCACCCACTCATCCATGCACCCATCCATCCATCTGTCCATCCATCCATCCATTCATTCATTCATCCATCCATCCATCCATCCATCCATTGCTTCCCTCATTTACATCACTCACACTCTCTGAGACCCACAACCTACATATCCCTCACTGTCTCATTAATGCACTCACACATTTAAACAGGCACCCAGGTACCTAGTTATTTTACTCATCTCCTTCACTCAAACATGCGGTTGAAAAGGACACACACCCTTTTCACTTACTCATGGTCCTGCCATTCCTGGTGTTTTTTTTTTTATCACTTATTTTTGTTAGATCATTCTGGTTCTTTAACACACTCACTGAGTCACCGGTCACCCTCCTCTCACCCAAATACCCAATGACATGGTTAGTTACTTCCCTTTCTTCACTCAGGACCTTCCAGCCTTGTTGTTGCCCTCATCGCATCAGCAGCACTCACCTCACATATCTCATCTGTAGCTATGCCCCTTCACTTTCACCTTCCCAACCTACCTTGCATCCCACCCTTTCTCTCCACTCACACAGCTGCCACCTTTGGCATGAGTTCATCTAGTCATATCTGCACTATTGAAGAAGACTTCTGCTTGGTCTCCTTGACTCATCTCTCTCTATTCCATTCCATCTTTCAATCAGCTGCCCAAATGCTCTTTCTAAAGCATTGGCAGGTCCTACCCCTATCACTGCCCTACTCAGTAGACTCCACTGGCTCCCTATTACCTCAAGGATCAAAGACAAAATCCTGTTTGGTTTTTAATGTTCTGGAGAAAAGGATCCTTTCTGACATTTCCAGTCTTCTCAGACTTTCCTCTCCATCATATATTTTATGATCTAGCAACATGAGCCTGATGGTTTCTTTCACAGTTCTTCAGTCTCCCAAGTCCTTATTTTGTGTTTACCCTTCTGCTGTTCTAGATATCAGGGATGCTCTTCCTCCTCACCCACCTCTGCTCCCTTCTAGACTCGGCTCAAATCCCAACTTCTGCAGTGCTTACCCTCTCCCCTGGCATACTTCCACATCTTGTGGCTACATAGTTATTTTCACATCTCCTTTATTAGACTATGAGCTCTTTACAGGGAGGGAGTGGCTATCTTTGTATCCTAAGTACTTAGTCCAGGGCCTGACAGTCAGTCAGTCAATTTATAAACATTTATCAAGCTGCTACTATGTGCCAGCCACTATGCTAAGTACTGGGGTTACAAAGAAAGGTTAAAAAAAAAAGTCATTGCCCTGGAAGAGTTCATGATCTAGTGGAGGAGATGGGTAAACCAATATGGATGAACAAGCTCTGTACAGGAAAGATAGACACTAATTCAAACAGAGGAGGGATTGAGAAAGACTTCCTGTAAGGTGGAATTTTTGGTTGGATTTGAAAGGAGCCAGAGAAGCTAGAAGATGGAAATGGGGAGAGAGGACATTGCAGGCATGGGGGCCACACAGAATGTGCTTCATAGTAAATGCTTGTTGACTGACTGACGCTTTTCACCTAGTCACCATTAGGATATGGACCTCATTTAGACCCACATCACTTTTCCCTACCCTCCATTAAAGTAAAAGCTTCCTAACTGCTTTTTCTTTCTACCATCTCCCCTTTCCAAGTCAGCCTTTGTAGAAAATTTCCAAAATGATCTTCCCAAGATACACATCTGACCATGTCACTGCTCCCCTGCCTGAAAAACCTTCAGTTGTTCCCTCTCTTTCTAGGATAATATATCCCAATAGAATATGTGTCTGGCAGAGTGCCTAGTCCATTTGGCACATGCTTTATAAATGTTTGTCAAATTTAATTGAGCAGAATGCAACTTTTATATTGGATATTTAAGGTCCTGCAAAATGAGTTTCCCAAGTTGTCCTCCCTTTCCAGCCTCCTTTCCCCTTCCTCTTCTTTATTTTTCAGTGAGAATGGACTATTCTGTTCTCTGAAAGAGACGTGTTGCTTTTGAGGCCCCACGTTTCTGCAGCCCATTCTCCTTCCTTCTCATTCGGCCTGGTAAGAAGCCTTGTCTTGCTTCGAGGTCCCTTCCCACCTGAGGGCTTCTTTCCTACATCCAAGGTTTTTTCTAGCTGGGCCCAGCATTTTCCTGGATCGAGTCTCCATCATCTTTTCCATGGGCAGCCTTGATTCCTGACTTTCTAGCCTCTGGGCATGTGCTGGAACTCCTCCTTCCCACCATTCGTACTCCCCTCAGTCCCCTGTCATCTCCTTTATTTGGCATTTCCGAATTTCTGTAACCACAGTGCCTAGGACAGCACTTTGCCCAGTCAGTGTTTATTCATTTAAACGACCTGGTAGCAAATCGGCAGTCCTGTGCGGGAAGGGCATAGTACGAAGTAAAGGATAGCACCTGGGAGGCTGCAGCTGCCCGCCAGATAGGTGGGGGCCGGCAAGTAGGAGGGCAGGAGATGTAATTCCTTTCTGCGACAGCCCAGGCAGGGAGAGTGGCCGCCCTGTTGTTTCTGCCCCAGACCCAACCTAACCCATAAGGAGACCATAGTGACTGCCTCCATCTAAGAGTTGAGGAGAGGAGCAGCCGGGCTGCTCTAGCAGTGAGCCGGAGGCCAGACGCTCTTCCAGATGTTCCCCTTGGGAGGCTGAGTGAAGGCAGGGACGGGGCGGGGACAGGGGGTGGAGACTGGAGGGCCAGGCGGGGCTGGGGGTGGGGCGGGGAGGGCCCGACTGGCAGACAGCGATCTGGCTCTCCCGGCGGGCACTCGCTGCCAGGCTGTGGCTGCTTGGTCAGGATCCTCCTCTCGGGGCAGCCCAGGGCTGTTGCCAGGCTGTGTCCTCCCCGTCCCGCGTCCCGCTTTCGGTCCCCGTCCGGATGCGCTCTCTGGGAGCTGGCCCACGCTTGCAGGGAGGGCCGTGCCCCGGGAAATCCTCTCTGGGGCTGCGCTTACTCGCTTGCCCGGCCCGGCCGTCACGGCTCGGGGTGGAGCAGCAGGGGCCAATCGGGCAGTACTGAAGGAAGAGCCCTCCCCCTGGGAAGAGAGAAAAAGAAAGTAGGGGGAAAAGTAAGTGGAAGCTCGGAGGACTTGCCGCAGCCCGAACCCAGCACAGGGCAGCTCAGAGGGCAGAGCAGTGCAGAAGGCAGCGCAGGGCAGCGCCACCCGCAGCCCACTCCCAGTCCGGCTCCGCCTTCCCTGTGCTTAAAGGTGAGTGTCCGGGGCTGGGCTCCCGAGCTGGAAGGAAGGGGTGCAGAAGTGGGTCGGAAGTGCTTCGCAACTCCTCCTCCTCCCCTCCACGCCCCAAGTCCCAGCCCGCACCTGGCAGTGGGAAGGAGGCAAGAGAAGGTTCCTTCTCCGTATCTTACTCGGGAGCTGTCCTATCGCTGCCTTCCAGGGCTTAGCGGCTGCAGCATAGAGCTAGCTGACAGCCTGGGGATGGGAGCACGGAGCTAGGTTGGAAAAGGGAGGAGGAGGAGGAGGAGAAAGGCGAGATGAAGGGAGGGAGGGGAATAGATCACCTACAGGAAGGCCGCTGCTGTTCTCGCTTTTGCCTTGAAAAAATCGTTTTCAGCAAAGGTACCTATTTGACAGGGGGCTGGCACGGCGCCCTCGGTGCCCCGTCCTCTGAGAGGGATCCCTATGAGGCTGAGCAGAGCTGAGCAGAGCTGAGCAAAGCTGAGCAGAGCGGGGCGCTGTTGACAGCCTTCAGTGCCTCCGAGCTCCAGAACTCGGACCAGTTTCTCAGTTCCATTTTATCTAGAGCCTTGATCTGCTGTGTCCGTTGTAGGGTATCGTGTTTTTAGTGACCAGATCTGATGTTCCAGCCGTGCCCTCCTTCCACCCGAACTTTAGAGAGTTAGACACCAAAGCAAGGAATTAACAGCAGAACAAAACAAAAACAAAAACAAAAACAAAAACAAAAAAACAAACAAAAAAAAAACAAACGAAAAAACACCTTTTGATTCCACTAGACCTCCAATCTCTCTTGCTTCCTGCCTTTATTTTGAAAGGGTGATCCAAGGCGGTGTCTTTTACCTCTGTTTCCTGCTCGGGGTATAAAAACAGAATATTTGAAAACCAAATATCTGAAACCATATTTGGGCAGAAATAAGGTGGTATTCACGCACTTTACTAGATTTAGGGGATTGCACTACTGCATTTGCAGAGAGCATTTAGGAAGGTAGCTGGGGGCAATGAGAAAAGGACAGGTTCAAGATCCTGAGGACGGGGGGGGGGGCGGAATTCTAGCTCCAACACGACCTACCGGATTGTGGGCAAGTTGCTGAACCTCTCTGGGCCTCAAATTCTTCAAATGTAAAATAAAGGGGTAAGATCTGGATGGACTCTTGAGCTCCCTTTCAGCCTGAGATCTGTAATCCCAGCAAGAATGAATGATGTAGCATTGAGAAAGACTCAGGACAGGAGGTCCAAAGACTGTGGATACAAACACTGCCTCTGACACTGGCTGTGTGACAGGCGGCAAGTGACACTGTCTCTGAGCCTCAGCGTCCTCATCCATGAAATAGGTATAATGCTATGCCCACTACCTACCTCTTGCGGTCCATGAATCTAGAGCTGAAAGAGACTTCAGAGCATATCAAACCCACCCCCCTCATTTTAAAGATGAGGAAACTGAGGCTTATAGACAGTAAGTGAATTGGCCAAGGTGGGTTGGTATGAGAGTGGGGAGCTGCAACTTGGTAGGTCCTATGTTCTTTCCCCAACATCAGACAGAGGGGGAGATGGGACTCCCCTGCTTTCTCAGGTGGAGAGACTGCACCCCTCCCACCAGTTGGCAGTGATGGTGACATGGGACACATTGTCCTTCATTTTCTGTATTTACTTCATGGCCACACTAGTGCCTCTTGTCTTTTTAGCTTGACTAGAGAAAACAAAACAGTCTGGTAAGGATCTGTTGTTATCTGGCCCAGTCCCCCTACATCCAGCCATGAGAGGAAGGAGAACAGCCAGGCTTTGTTTAAAAAAAGAAAAGAAAAGAAAAGAAAAGGAAAGAAAAGAAAAGAAAAGAAAAGAAAAGAAAAGAAAAGAAAAGAAAAGAAAAAAAAGAAAAGAAAAGAAAAGAAAAGAAAAGAAAAGAAAAGAAAAGAAAAGAAAAGAAAAGAAAAGAAAAGAAAAAGCCTTCCTGGTTGTGGGCATCTAAACCTTTAATTAAATGTTGTTGTTTGCTGAGCTCTGACAATTGATTTTATTCCCAATGACTTGTTGCAATTATTTACTGCTGTCCCTACAGCCAGTAGACTCCCTTAATTGAGTGAGTATCATTTGGAGCAGTGCTGCCCCCTCTTTCCTGATTAGAAGATTGGTGGATTGTATTGATGGGAACTCTGTGTGGGTTTGGGGGTGGGGTGAGCTATGAGCCCTCTTTGAGAGAGTGACAGAGTGAGTTGGAGATTTGAGGATCTAGGTTATATGCAAGGGCTGAGCTGCCCAGCTAGGATTGAAAATGTCTGCTTGCTTTTGTGGCCAGTGGCAAAGACAAGCATGTTCCAACCTCAGATTAGGGCAAGGGCAAGAAGAGGGGTTTGGAAGTGACCTGTTCACAAGGCAATACAAGATGTCGATTCCCTTCTCCTCACATTTGGGGGAGTATATCCTGGACATACTGAGGGACAGAGGAAGGGAGATATCTATTATCCTTTGCCCAGGTCAGACCGCATCTGGTGCTCTGGCTTCAGGTAGTTACACTATATTTTTATCAAGGACACTGGCCAGCTGGAGAGCACCAGAAGGAGGCCTGCCAGCATGTTGAGGGGATTAGAAGTGTGGCATCCAGAGACTGCATGGCAGGTCTTTGCTGCTGAGAGAAAGGCAGATGTTTAGCCTGAAGAAGAGAAAATGAGTTTGGAGAAGAGAATATAGCACCTGGTTTAAAGGATAAGGAGTACTGTCTTAAGAAAGAGGGACTGACTTCTATCTGCTTGACCCCAGAGGGCAACATAGGGGCAGGGGAGGGGCACTGACTTCATCTCAGTTTCTGCCTCTGTAAAATAAGACCATTAGTCTGAGTGTGCTTTGAGATCTCTTCCAGGTCCACATCTATGCCCCTGTGATATTTATATTCCCAGCATCTACCGTGGTGGTTTGTATGTAGTGGGTGATGAGCAAAGATTTCTCATCTGATTGTACCAGAGTTTGATAACTGATAGAATGTCTGGTTACGAGATTCCATACAAGGACATGTGATCATGCTTGTTCAGAACAATCCTAAACAAAAGATGAAGGATTTCATTTCTGTTTTCTTGAGCAAATGATGATACTGAAATAGGGCAGCACTTGGAAAAAGCTTGCAGGATCTGAAGCCAGGACTCCTGAATTTGAATCCCACTTCTGACACTTTTGAATCATTGGACCATGGACAAATCACTTGGCTTTCCTTGGCCTTGGCACCCTAATCTATAAAATGGGCTTACTATCACATATGCTACTGACTTCTTAAGGTGTTTATGAGAGAAAATATACACATAACCTTAAAGTGCTACAGAAATATAACTTATTGAAACTAAAGCAGCAATATGGTGTCTGGGAGGGAAGAGAATAGACTAGGTGAGTGATCAGTAGAATGGGTCTCTTTTCTTTCAAGGATATCAGAGTACTTGGTCTAGCTACATTCTGATAACTAAGTTGAGACTGTCCCTGTGAATGATATTGGCCCCAGTACCCAACGTGCTGTGTCCTAATCTGGGTGTGTTGGGGGTAACAAAAGTGATATGACTCCTCTGAAATCCCATCGAAACTGGTGAGAAAACCAAGGCTCAAATCCATGCTCCTTAGTTGAGTTTGTCTACCTTGTACTCACTGAGTCTCACTGCCTTTTCTCCGGTGGTATGAATGAGCTGCCATAGATTCACAGGATTACTCATTTAGAACTGGAAGGACTTATGGAGATGATCTAGTCTAATCTGCTCATTTTACAGTGTAGGAAACTGAGGCTTAGACATGCTCAGTGACTTGACTTGCTTTTATAAAGATGAGCATAAAGGGGAGCTCACACTTCTTTCTAGAAGTGGGACTAGAATTCCATCCATCCATCCATCTATCTATCTATCTATCTATCTATCTATCTATCTATCTATCTATCTACATATCTATCAACAATGCCCCCCCCCAGCATAATCCTCCTTGTGACTGACCAAAGGTCCACATGTGCTAAATTTTAAGATGAGTGCCATAGCCAGGGAACAGAGACAAACACTCTGGCCTCCATGGTGATCAGATCTCTGTAGGTATGTCATTGTTCTGTGACACTGACCTCCTAGCTGTTCCATCTCTTGGCTCCTGAAGTTTTCTCTGCTGTCCCCCATGGCCAGAGTGCTCTCCTTCCTCATCTCGGCCTCCTGGTTTCCTTTAAGGAAGCTCTAGCAAAATCATATCTTCTCTAGGAAGCCCTTCCCTAACCCTATTTTCAGTACTCTCCCCCATCCCCAACACTATGGCTTCATGGACTGCTCTTCTTTCCTGTCTGCACAGATGTAGGAGCTGGTGAGTCATATCTGCAGTGACCAAGCTGGGTTAAATTGTTATTAAAGAAGGCCCCCTCTTGTGCTCTCTTCTTGCTGGGAAATGATAGAAGAAAGGCAAACTCAGAACATTTTCTTTCTGTTCTCTTGAGATGAATCTGGGTTATGATGTGGGGATTTTTCTAGTGCCCTTCAAGTTTCTCCACTCCTCTAATGATGCCTGACCACTTTGCCGAAGTGTGGGATTTGGGGTGGAGGGAGGAGGTGGCAGACATTGAAAAAGTGCCTTTTATGTGCTAGATACTGTACAAACTGCTAGAAATACTGAAGTATCAGTGAGATTGTATTGTATTGATTCATTGCTCTCAAGGAGTTTACATTCTATTGAAAACTATCTTGTGATATATATTTGGTTAGTTTTCAGGATAGTGGGGTTTTTTTTGGAAAGGGGGGGCAGATCACTGTTATAACAACTCACCTGCCACAGCAAAAACTATATTTGAGAGGAGTGGAGTAGGGATGGGGGTAAGGAAAATGTACTCAGAGTAGATTGGCTAGGTTGGGGAAAAAAATGGCTTTGGACTCAAGAGACTTGGGTCCTCATTCTGATATCTACTAGCTGGCTTTACCTTTTGAGGGGCTCAGTTTGCTCATCTGTAAAATGGAGATAACAATAACACACATTTCACAGAGTTGTGAGGATTAAATGAGATAATGTGTGCAAAGCAC